CTTTTCATCGAATGAGATGTCTCCTTGCTACCCAGTCTTTGTCCATTTTAATCAAAATATGAGAATTAATAATTTTCTGAGCATCTTTCTGGAAATGCTTTTCAGCTGCTGTATATGGCTCCCATTGAGATAAATTCAAAATTTTAAAGAAAACAATGTCAAGGACAAGGAGGCAAACGGGGCATATCTCCTTTTTTTTAAACTATGCCTGATTCATAGGACCAGGAAGACCAGAATGAGATCTGATATCAGTAATAAAAACAGGATCAGAGCGCTTTTGTAAAAGACCCTGTTGCTGCTGAAGCAAATGTTGAGCTATATAGAGTTTGATGTGCTTAGAAATGCAGTCACAATACCAGGGAAGAGACCAACAACATAAACTGAGTCTGAGATGATATTAGCAGGTCCTGTCATATGGGCAAGTGAAGAAACTAATGTGGTGAGTTACAGCCTTCATTGGAAACTCTTTCTTGATATCAGAAATAATCTGCTTCATAACCATACACACATATGCAGAAGTATCCTAGTGACAATGCCTTTCGTCCCTCACCAGACTCAGCGTCTGTAATGGCTGAGTCAGTGAGCCCCCAGGAATGAGGAGTCTCTGTCACTCCTGGGTCAATAAGCAATGGCCGAGTGGGAGAATAACCACGTACCCACTGTCCCTGAAGCCGTTTTCCCAGAGGTGGCATTTCATGAACTAGAAGTAGAAGTTCACTTCCCCAAAAATAAAACTGTACCAGCCTGAGTCTTTGAATAACCTTCCTTGGAACTAGCACTTCACCATTGGTTCTGATAAAAAAAAAAAACAAACCCGAGAGTTGGTTGTCCACACTGAGTTCCTGGCAGATGTTCTTGGGAATCAAGATGAGAAACTTGAGAAGGCTTTCTCCACCTCTTACCTAACTGAGGGCTCTCAGGGTAGCTGAGCCCTTTTACACAAAGTTCTGCTCGGTTTGCCAGCATAAATTCATTAATAGACACAACTCTTTGATTACAAAGTTTCTCACTTTTGTCCTGACTCAAAATATGATGCACATTAGGTGTAGAACTCAGCTCTGCATGTCCCATACGCGGGATGGCTTCTTGTTCCTTGAACTCAACCGCTTGTCGGTAAGCCTCTAGATGTGCTCCATGAGGAACTGAGTCAGGGACTGGAGATACCTTTCCCTCCACTGTCGGGGAGTTCTCCAGACAACCGTGAAAATCTGATGTGCTGCTTGTAACGTTCACTTGAGCAAACTCCCTTTCTACCTTGGGGTTCAAATCTTGTCCCTTTGCACCAGAATTTAATCTGTAGGGACTCTGGGTGGGAGAAATGCTAACTGTATCAGAGCAAGGAATATCTAAAGCAGCGCTCCCTGCCGTGGCTGATTGTAGTGGATCTACTGACTGGAGCTCTGAAGCTCCACACTGGGGAGAAGGGCTGCAGCTGGGAACATCCCCTGATTTTGCGGGGTTCTGGGGCTGGCCCCACGTACATTTCCCGAAATGGGGTCACCATCTACGCCAAGATTGGAGGGCAATCTCTGGCCCAATGGTTTCCATTTTGGCATCGTGGATAAGGTCCAGGTGGTGGTCTCACAGTTGTACGTTTGGGAGGTGCCCTGCAGTCCTTATGGAGGTGGCCTGATTTCCCACAATTAAAACATTTGGCCTGAATTTGCCTCTGTATGGCATAGGCCTCGACAGCATTAATAAGTGACTGATGTTTGATAGACTCGGGTTTGATTCCCAGAATCCCATATGGTCCCCTGAGCACCGTCAGTGGTGATTCCTGAGTGCAGAGCCAGGAGCAGCCGCTGTGTATTGCCGGATATGACCCAAAAAGCAAAAAAAAAACCTCATTTTTATTCTATGAAAACTTCTCATACATATCTCTTTCCAGTATAAAATAGTGAATGAAATGAGTAAGTATACTGTGGTTTTCAAAGGAAAATATAGTTTAGCATTATGTTCACTGAAATTCCTTCCATTAACAATGCAATGAAGGCCATAAGTATAGAGCAGCTATTCAAAGAATCTGCTGTTACCCTGCGAGTGTATGGTCATGAGTTTAAATCCTTGGTCTGCCTCATGCACTCAATATGATTCTGACATGCTATTTGAGCCCTCAAAGCCCTTCTGTATGTCTGTGATTCGAGGCAGCACCGGATGAAGTGAAGAAAAGAAGAGTATTATTTTAATTAAAAAATAAAACAAGAAACACTTGACTCTATCAAGCATACTTAAATGCAGTGAAAGTAATGCAGTGGGTCTGAGGGAAGCAGTGAGTTGACGGTGGGCAGAAACAGCCCTCCTTGAGTCAATGTGAGGGCGAAAAGGGACAGCGAATCCTCTTGGAACCCGCCTCTGTTCCCTTGGAAACTCTGGGGTTCTAAAAGGTGCCAACCGGATGTGACCTCACCTCACTTCCGGCTGGAGGGGGAGGCCAACAGAGGCCAGGAGCTCGGTGAGGAGAGAACCATCCAGAGTGCGGGAGGATGGCCCAGCTCATCAAGGAGTCACGGTACGGACCCCAGCTCGTCAAGGAGTCACGGTACGGACCCTGGGGGTAGACAGATGGGAACCACTATCAACTCCGAAGGAGTCCAGGCTGGGTATGGGGTGCGGTTCCCCTCCCCTGTCCTCAGGACTCGAGGAATCGTTGAGGTGTGAGGGGTCCGGATCCGGCCACCATCTTCCTTCTCAGAACCGGAGTTGACGCTCCTCAGGGTTCCCGATGGGGGCCCGAGACCCGACAGTAGGGATAGAGTCCAGTTCAGTAAGAGGTTGAGTTTCTTAACGGACATTCGTGGAGATCAGCCTCTAGTTCTCCTTTTCCGTGCGCAGGGTGGGGGTTTCTCAGAGTTATGTAGTTTCGGGGTTACTGGTGACTCTGAGCGACGGCGAGGCCCGCTAGGTTCCGGGGCTACGGGGAGAGCCGACTCGAAACTTTCCCGCCGCGTGCAAGGAGGGAGCCGTATTCTCGGGGCTACGTCCTTGCCTCTTGTACTTTCTTTGAGACGAACATCTCTGTCTGCCTCGGGCACTCGGACGTCATGGGATTTGTAGAATTTGTTCGGCACAATTCACGGTTGTCTGACATTTGAAAGAACTGAGCACTATAGATACTGAGACTCCTCTGTATTCTAGGGTAAAACTCACAAAGGAGCACATGTAGAACAGGATTTTTGTGCTGTAGAGATGAAAAATTGCAGTTTTAATTTCCTTAATTATGATTTTCTGCATGGATTTTCTTTCTTTTTTTGTCACTTTGATTTCTTTTTTTTTTCCCTTTATTTTATTTTATTTTTTTTTTACAGTTGTAGATTTACAATTTTTTGTGCTTTGGTTTCAATTATACAATGATCAGATACCCATCCCTCCACCAGTGCCCATTTTCCACCACCATGGATAATATCCCTCCCACCCCCATCCCCCCATCCCCCCTGTCTCTGTGGCAGGGCAATCCCCTGTGTTCTCTCTCTCCTTTTGGGTGTTGTGGTCTGCAAAAGAGGCATTGAGTGGCAAACATGTTCAGTCCATAGTCTACTTTCGACATGCATCTCCCCTCCTGGGAGGATCCTCCAAACACCCTTTATTTGGTGCTCCCTTCTCTATCTGAACTGCCCTTTCCTCTAGGATACCTGGCTGGCCTCTAAGTTATGGAGTAATCCTCCTGGTGCTGATCTCAGCTATTCTTGGGTATTAATCTCATACTTTGTTACTTTGTATCCCCCAGATGAATGCAATCTTTCTATGTCTATCCCTCTCTTTCTGACTCATTTCGCTTAGCATGATACTTTCCATGTTGTACCACTTGTATGTAAATTTCATGACTTCATCTTTTCTAACAGCTACATAGTACTCCATTGTGTAGATGTACCAAAGTTTCTTTAACCAGTCATCTGTTCTTGGGCATTCAGGTTTCTTCCAGTTTCTGACTATTGTAAAGAGTGCTGCAATGAACAAACAAGTGCAGATGTCACTTCGACTATACATTTTCTTTTGCGTCCTCATTCAAGTTTAGGAGGATATATGAGTTGAGCTAGCCGGGCAGCCAGTAACAAGAAGTCTCACAATGGAGACGTTACTGGGCCGCTCGAGCAAAATTGATGAACAACGGGAGGACAGTGACAGTGACAGTGTATATGAGTTGAAAAAGTCATCTGATTCTACTAACTTTACCAGTCCTTGGTAAAGTTAGGATTGATCATATAAAAATGAATTTATGCATTTTGTCTGGAATTGTTTGGAATTGGCAAAGTTAGAAAAAGTTCACATAGAAAATGAATTTATGAATTTTCAGCATAAAAAAATGGGATGGGATAGACTTGATCTAAGGGTCTCGTCATAGGTTAGCTGTAGGGTATCCTGGAGGGTATAAGCCTAATTATCGCTCTATTCAGGATTCTAGGGAACCCTGGGCATACTAGTAGCAAAAAAAGGTGCCCACAAAGACACAGGATAATTTGACAGTTACCCTATCATACACTCACCTCAATGTCATAAAGAACTGAATGTTTAGCCATATGTGCTTTCTGGTGATACTTTTCCCTTTCTTTCCAGTCTTTAGTAGAATTTGTCCAGAAGAACGGAAGCTGTGGGGCTGATTGCACCTCATCATTTGAGCTAGGTAAGTCCCCTTATGTTCAATATGCTGAAACTTTCTTATTGAGGACCGTTATATTCCAGGAGTATGTGCCTTTAAGCTTCAGTACATGCCCTGAAATGCATATGTAACCAATGAAAAGCACCACTACAGTGTGAACATTCCTCTATCACAGTGCACTAAAGACCTCGCCATAATCCCTCTGATTTATCCCCCTCAGATACAATAGTTGATGCCCTTACCCAGTTTTCTTTCACTGTTTTTGTCTGTGGCTGTTGTTTTTCTCCTCTGTAATCCACATATGAGTTTGGTCATTGAATGTTTGACTTTTTCTTTTAGTTAAATTGACCATGTCTAATTTGGCTTCTTTTACTCTCAGGCCTGCATCCTATCGACACGTGTCATCATGTCTCACTCTGATGAATTTTGGGCCTTCGATTTTGAAGAAGAAATTGAGGATGCGCAAGAAGGCCAGCACCTGGAGAGCAGTCAGCTGTGCAGTGCTGAGATGGGGATGGCTGAATTGCCCTCCTCCGCCACTGCCTCTTTCCCCCTTGAAGGAACCCCTGGGGAGGTAGCAGCTGCTGGAGTATCCAGTGATGTAAAAGGTCCTCAGTGTAGTGCTTCCGTGCCCCGTTACTTCCTGGTGACCATAGCTGAAAAACTACAGAGCAATCGTGAGTGTGGCAGTGCCCGCAGCCAAAATGAGAAAGGCCTAAAAGATAGGGAGGAACCAGCAGATGCTGGGGCCAGCCTTCAGAAGGCATTGGATAAGAAGATGTCTGATCTGGTGGAGTTCCTGCTCCTTAAGTACCACTCTATGCAATTGACCACAAAGGAAGTGATAGTGAAAACTATCCTTGACAATGATGAGGAGAACTTCTCTTACATCCTAAGCCAGGTATCTGAGTGCATGCGAGTGGTCTTTGGCATTGATGTGAAGGAAGTAGATCCCCAAGCTCACATCTATGCCTTGTTCAATATCCTGGGCCTCACTTATGATGTGATAGTGAGCCCTCAGCATAACATGCCCACCACAGGCCTGCTGGTGATTGTCCTGGGGGTCATCCTTCTGGAGGATGATTGTGCCTCTGAGCAGGCTATGTGGAGAGAATTAGGTTTGATGGAAGTTCATCCTGGGAGGAAGCACTTTATTTATGGGGAGCCCAGGGAACTCCTCACCAATGTGTGGGTACAGGAGCAGTACATAGCTTACCAGAGGGAGCCTGGAAGTTACCCAGTCCGCTATCAGTTCCTCTGGGGCCCCAGAGCTCACAGAGAAACCAGTGCATTAGAAGTCCTGAAGTTTTTGCTCAGTATCTGAAATAATGGTAACAGGTCCCTCCCGTTACTAGATTTAAAAAAAGCCTCATTCCCATGAAAATGTTGACGAAGTTTGAGCTAGGATGACAAAAGAATTGTACACTGAACTCAGGGTTGAAAATGTTGGAGAGTAGTATAAGTTTGCAACCTTCTGGAATATCAGCCTTATGTTCCTGTTCCTTTTGATGACTTGTACATCAATCTGGTTTTTCTTAAGGATTCTATTAAATGTTATGTTTTCTTGAACAATCTTTTGTTTGTCTGAGCATGTGAATGAATTGATGTTGTGCATGCCATGTTCAAGAGGGACAGTGCTGTTACTTAGTTCAAGAGAGTGGGAAAATTTCTGTCTCCTGTTAAGAGTTGTCAAAGATAACCTTGTTACAAAGATAACATAACATGCTATGAAACGTGACAGTTTCATCAGTGAAATCCAGTCATGGCAAAAACTAGCAGAGAGCCATTTTTATTTGGTTGCTCTAAGTTCCCTATAACTTAAAATTTGAGAACTGGTGGTATATTTTGTTATTCATAATTGTATTTCATATGGCAGGTTTGCACCAATCTCTTCTGATGGCCTTGGGTTACTAGCAGGGACACGAGGACTAGTACAATGCACCCTCGCACAGAATATGAGTGACAGTGTCGCACCCTGCTCATCGAAGAATGAAGAATGTGTGAGGTTTTGTAAGATACACCCTCCAAATGAAGGGGGATGGGCAGTGGGTGTCTGGGGAGAGGAATCTATTATAACTACTGGAATCAGGTAACTTTCTGGGCCGTGAAATTGGCAGGACTTAGAGTTGGATGTGCTTGGCACTAACCACTCAGGGATGATCATGGACTAGTTGAATTACTGGTGTGAACATACTTGAATTTATTTGTGCCCAGGGATCCATGGGTACCATACAGACAACTGAATTAATTTCCTGAATGCCCTCCAGGTGTGAAAGTTTGAGGGTTCTCTATTCCTGTGATGCTCCGAGTTTTTGTTCATCATTAGCCAGGTTTTTAGGTGATCATCATTAGGTGACGATCCGAGTTTTTGTCCATCATTAACCAGTTTTTTTTTTCACAAGAATACACACTTTTTTCAACCTTGATGTTATACCCACAAGACTCTAGATGGAGCTGTTTTATGCCCAACAGAAGAAAAGAAACCCAGGAAAATGGTAAGGAACTGGCTCACCTAGTCTATCCATTAGCGAGCTCTAAATGGGGCCAGGTTTTGTCTGAAAAAGAAAATTGTGGGTTCTCTGCAAGACAAGCAGCAGGAGAGAAACTGGTCTCTGCAGTGCAGAGTTCCTGCAGCTCACACTGCCGTTCTTCAGATCCTGAGAAGACAGTGTGTCCGATCTGCATTAGCTGCTAAGTAGACCACCTGGACAGTTTGTTCTCTGACCTCCCATGGTAAAACATCTCTTTCAACCCCTGCTTCTGGGACTTAGCTCTTCCGGTGAGGGTTGGAGAGCACCTACTGTGTGAGAAGGCAACAAGCACCTTTTCTACAGGGAGGGGAGACAGTGATCCAACTGCTCACTGAGGGGGCCCCAGGGTAGTTCTGAGGTTTCACATTCCCTTACCCCAACTGTGAACTTGGGGATCCAGAGCCTAAGTTCAAGGGGAGCTGGCCGACATGGCAGTGGACAGGAACCGCCCTGCCCAAGCCAAGGTGTGGGCAAGAGAGGACAGTGAGTCCCCTTGAGCCCGCCTCTGTTGCCCTAGAGCCCTCAGGTCCCAAATATGCCAACTGGGTGTGACCTCGCCTCACTTTCTCTGCAGGGCACCTTCTGCATAGTCCAGGAACCCAGTGAGGGGGAGCAGCTTCAGGATTGCATGAGGAGGGCTTGTTAGGCCAGGAGTCAAGGTGTGGACCCCACGGAAGGACAGGAGGAACCCACACAGCCTAACTCTGCTCCATCACAGCCCCAAGGGAGTCCAGACATGGGTGTGGGGTGCGTGTTTTACTCCCTCCTCCTCAGAACTCAGGGATTCTGATGCTGATGTCTGAGCGGTGTGGGCTCTGGGGCCCATCATTCCTTTTTAGCCTCAGAGTAAAGCTCTGGAAGGAGTCCCGAGGAAGGACCTCTCAATCCCAACTCAGAATGCATCCTGGTGGCCCCAAGATAGGGGGCCCAGACCATCATGTGGTGAGGTTCATGGGCTTGGTGTCAGAAGGGCCCCAGGTCCACAGTGATGGGATGATTTAAGGTGGGGTTCCTGAAAGTATCTTGGACCCCCACAGTCGCCTGTCTGCTCTGGGTTCTGGAAGACCCAGGGCAGTGCAAACTCAGGGCATCGTGTTCCGGTTGGGGACGTGGAGCACACTGGACAGTGCACGGGGGGATTCTACTGGTTCTTTCCTCCCGATTAGGCTCAGGACACATTTGTGATGCTGGGAATTGAGCCCGGTCTGCCATGTGCCAGGTAAATGCCCATCCCGATTAACTCTCCCAGCTCAGAGCATCATGTTCAGAAATGGGACTATTTATTAAGGAGCAGCAACTCAGGTCTAAGAGGTGACACATTTCTATTTCTAATCCCATTGACCTCATTTTTTTTCATTTCCTTACCATGATTAACTTGATGGACTGGGGCGATAGTTCAGCAGGTAGGGCGTTTGCCTTGCACGCGGCTGACCCAGGTTCGATTTCTTTGCCCCTCTTGGAGAGCCTCCTAGCTACCAAGAGTACCTCGCCCACGGGGCAAAGCCTGGCAAGCTACCCATGACGATATGCTAAACACAGTAACAAGTCTCACAATGGAGACTTTTCGACACCCGAATCTCTGCCAAAGGTTCCCAAACATTCACTGACTCTATGGATGAAAATCCTGAACATGCACTGTGGAGGGGCGGCAGGATTCACGTTGGAAAGGCGGGTGCTGCCCATGTGGGTTCCCCCAGTGAGCCCCGAAGGGTTAAGGATGGGAGGAAGCAGACCCCCATTTTCTGCGTCCTGGAGGCGCCCGCGTTGGTCCCAGGTCCCAGGATGCCCATGTGTGTCCGCACCACCCGGACAGACCCTATCGCCTTGTCAGGGAAGCTTCAAGAGGACAGGGTGGGACCATGTGTGTCACATGTTCTGCGAAGGATGGGACGGAGGCAGCCTGGGCCTCTGCCCATGCAGCCGTTTCATTGAGCCGCGTGAATGGGACAGAAGGACGCAGGGGTGTGATGGGGGGCGGTCTCCATTGCGTCAGATGAAGCCCAAAGTTTCCTGGATAGGGAGCTGCTCTGCGCCTGGGGAATTGCTGGCGGAAAATGGTCTGATCATGCCTGACGGGGTCAGATGCCTTCGGCCTCTCCCTGAACCCTTGTCCATTGCCGCCCACCTCGCCCCGTCCTTAACTGTGTTAGGGTGTGGACACGCGGTCCGTGGCTCCCTGAACCTGAGATCGTGGCGGTTTCTAGCCGAGGTGGGGACTTCGGGGTGGCTTCGCAGGCCGGGTCGGGGATGAAGCACGTCCCAGCTAGCTCTGACCGGTGCTGCCTTTCTGCCGGTAGCCATACCAGGCCCACCCCGGGGCCTGCTCCGCCTTCCAGCTGCCCAAAGCTGATCCATTCTATAAACCCCTGGAGGCTCCGGGGACAGGTACAGGACGTAGTAACCCGCAGGGAATCCTGCAGCAGCAAGCTCTACAGGGTCCTCCCGCCCTCCAGTCCGTGGCATCACGTGACCCCAGTGTGACATGCAGATGGGGAGAGAAAGGAGGGGGCAAGGATGGGGGCGCCCCAGCCCTGGGGGCGCTTGGAAAGAGACTGGATGGTAGTGGCCATTTGTCACCCTCAAATGTGGGGTCCAGCCCAGCCCCCTTGCTGCGGAGACTGGTGTCCAGGCCCTTGTCTCCAAGAGTCCTGAGGGCCCAGAAGCCCCAGCGTCAGCCTCGTCGGGGTAAGGGCTTACACGTGAACCCGCGTGTTGCAGACACGGGAGGGGGAGGCTGAGGAGGGTCCATGGTATTGGCCGGGGCTGGCTCTGGGGAACTTGGGTCTAGTGTGGGGGGCCGGGGTGTCAGTGTGTGTTTGCTAGTTGCCAAGTCTGGGGGTCCAACAGAGGTGCGGTAAGAGTGTGGAGGGCCCGAGTGGGGGTTCAGGCATGTGACGTGGAACATGCCCACGGGTTGGGTCCTGTCTCTGTCGCCGTCCAGGACGGGGGTAAGCCCAGGAGGGGCTCATCCCAGCCAAGACCCGCCCACTCCACCCTTGTTCCTCCAGATATCCAAGTAGCAAGGATTTTAAAAAGATTTTTTAAAAGAAGAATGTAAGGACACAGTTAATAGATATACTCAAGGTCACAGGAATCAGAAAATAAATGCTTTTGGAGACAAAAAATTGCTCTCTTGAGGAAATTGATGAACAATGGGAGGACAGTGCTACAGTGCTACAGTGATTAACTTGATAATAGTTCTGTGCACTCAGTGCTTCGTCTCCATACCCACCAAGTGTGTCAGTGTCTTCTCATCTAGGAACCAAAATTTATATCTGGACCTATCTGAACTTTCTTGGTAAATAATTGTGTTTTTGTGTGTTTGTTATGGTTTTAGCCTCACGTAGTAGTGCTCAGGGATTATATTTTCCTCTGTTCTCAGGAGTCACTTCTGGTGGTGCACTTCAGATCTTATGAGATGGAACAGAAATCCAGCATACCACCCACTGAATTGTTCCTTCTGCCTAAACAATTGTGTTTTAAATAACTTAATGAATATGGTTCATAGGATTACATTAATGTTCTATTCTATGGCTTTGATGTATACAATGATCTCTCAGCTAAACCATCAAGAAGACAGGGATGCTTAAGAACGTTCCTATGATATTTCTAGGCAGACTACTAACCTCCTTCCAATTTTACTTTTTTATTTTTTTTAACTTTTTTTTATTGAATCACTCTCTGTGGGATAGACCATTACAAAGACAATATTGGTATGGAAAGGTTATCAAGAATATCCCTGAGATCTTGCCCAGTGTGATCATTCCCAGCTATTATTGTCATACTGGTTCTT